TAACTAGAAAACTAATGTTATACTTGTTTTTGCACCAATTGCGTGGAATCTGTACGATCCACTAGCAATTATATTTCCCGATTTAATTTTTGAGTTGTGCTTCTTTTGACGACGGTGTGCGATATGTATACCCAATAAAATATGAATTGGAAAATCTACCACATCTTATTCAAATCTACCACATTTTTTTCGATTCTACCACACTAAAATAAAAAGGGGTTTGCACACAGATTTGTTAAATCTTTTTTTGAGAAAAGTTTATAATTTGCAACTTATTGTAAATGGTAGAAACCACCACAAACCCACAAATCAGGTTTTAGAATCTTTATTAAATGCTTGACCCAATAGCGAAGAAAAAAGTACGAAGAAACTTGTATTAAGAATTTTTTAAATAAAGAATAAAATGTATATATCTAAAGTTAGAAGTAGAAGCGCTTAAATTTGTTTACTTATTTTAACGTAGATATATAGGTATGTACATATGTAATAATTTCTGCACATACCTTTTATTGGTACATTGGTAATACTTATTTAGAAAGCTGACAATTTTCGAAACAGAGATGTAAAAATCGTTAATAATTAACATTTTTCATAATGACATTCTTGGCAGAAAAATATTTCTCTAATTAATATTTTCATTTATTATAAATATTTGTACAAATTTAAGTGAAACAAATTAATGATAACGCTCAATAAACTATTTTTCGTGTTGCAATTTTGAAATCTGTTCAATAAAATTCAACCTTGCGTATTTTTCAGTGGGTTTTGTGTATTTAGAATATTTATATCGATTGTTTGGTACTGAATGAATGTGTGCACACATAGCAAAAGCTGCATTCATCTGAATGCTTATTCAGTGTTAAAAGTTAATGTTTCGTCATTCAGTTTTTTCAATCTTTCTTTGAATATGTTAATGTGTGCAATCGTATCTACTTTGAGTGAATGTAGAATTGGAAAATTATAAGCCACATTCCCCAACAAGGAAAAATTCAATGAAAACATAATAACATAAAATTGATGATTTTTAATTTCATATGATTTCACAGTTTTACAGCTCTGGTACATAGTAAGATTACACAAAGCAGCAAGTATATTTTTTTTTTGTAGTGAAATTGAGTGAACAGTTGGTGGCCCTTGAACTAGCATTTTGTATTTAGTTCAAGTTATATTAATGATTAATGCGAACAAAGAAAATTTTTAGACGTCACAATGTTTAGATTTGATAATCTTCGAATGTGCATGTTCCGACCGCATGATAAAAATTTAACCCATGGTATTTACCTTAAAAATAAAGAAATGCAAATTAGTACTTATTAGGCTTTATAAGATATTTTTACTTACAATATCATCAATTTTCAAAATGGAACGCACTGTTTCAGTAGATAACGAAATTGCCGAAATACTGACTAATAGCGGTTGTAATACATTTTCGGCCAAAATGTCGGTAATAGCACCCTTGCGCACATTAATACCGGCTGTTTTTTCGCCTTGCGCATGGCGGTTTCTCAATTCTGTTACGGTAGCAATTGGGTTGAGACCAGCATTTTCAGCCAAAGTAGATGGTATAACCTCCAAGGCATCAGCGAAAGCACGGAAACAATAAGCGTCAACGCCCTCTACTGTCTGCGCATAGGCGGCTAACTGCAAAGCCATTTCAATTTCCGGTGCACCCCCGCCAACGATTTGAGCGCGCTTCTTCACCAAACAACGCACTACACAGAGAGCATCATGCAAAGAACGTGCGGCTTCTTCGAGCACCAACTTATTGGAGGCACGGCAAACAATGGATACGGTGCGTCCAGTATTCTCAATGCCTGTGATTTTGACGAATTTTGAAGTACCACTTGCCACCTCCTCAACCAGATCAGCATTTACTAAATTTTCAGCAACAAAATGATCCAAAGATGCAATAGGACGACAGTTAAGGGTCTTGCAAACAAACTCGATGTCTTCACGTTCAACATCCTTAACCACAAGGCACTTAATCTTGTCCAAGAAATGCTGAGCTAAATCGGAAACAGCATCGCTATAACCACAAAGAGATTAGTCAAAATGATTGAATTAAATTTTACAATAACTTACCGCAAAATAGATTTCTGAACTAATAATACATTGCAGCCAGCTTTCTTTATCTGTTTTACAATATTCAAGATATATGAGCGCTCCTCTTTCAACACACGATCCATAGCAGCGTAATCCGACACGATGACGCTGTGATCCATCTAGAAGTATTTAATAATATTTATTAATGAAAATTAGTCCTCACAGCCACGAATCGGTGAAACTTACATCAGTCTTTGGTGCCGAAATGCAGAACTGTATTAAGCCGATCTTGGCCTTTTCGATGCGCTTGGGTGCATTTGTACCAGCCGAACGCGAAGTAAACACCAAACCTTCAATCAACTCGGTGTCTTCGACGGTGCCACCAAAACTACGAATTACCTTAATATTCTTTAAGTCAACAGCACCTTCCTTTCCCAGCTCAGCCACCTTTAAAACAGCATCTACGGCAATGGGAGCCAAAAGACTGCTCTGTTGAGAAACCACTTTAGAATTTAAAGAAGTCGAGGCACTCTTGATGAGTGTTTCACGATCAGTTAGTTCAATTGGGGTTGACATTTCCGTGAGAATTTCAATGGCTTTATTGGCACAACGTTGGAAGGAATCGGAAATGGCTGTGGGATGTATACCCTTGTGCAACAATTTTTCACTAGCTTCCAATAAAGCGCCAGCAATAACGACCACTGAGGTTGTACCATCACCGGCCTCAACATCTTGGGCACGTGATAGCTCTACAAGCATTTTAGCAGCAGGGTGAAGTACGTTCATCTGTTTAAGTATGGTAGCACCGTCATTTGTGATCGATACTTCACCATTGCCGGCTTGAATCATTTTGTCCATGCCGCGTGGACCTAAGCTAGTGCGAATGGCATCGGAGACAGCTAAAAAAAGAAAATAACATGTTTAGCATCAAGCAAGATCATTGTCAATTATGACTAATAGCACAAAATCATGACGTCATAACAGGCTAACCTAATATTCACGCACGCCGCCAATTTATTGTCAAAAATTTCTCATGCTCATGCAACTTGTATGAGATCAACCGAAATTGAACGGCGTGCGTATGAAGCTAACTCAATTTCCAATTTTTGTTCTGCGTGACATTTTGATTTGACGTTTCGCTCAATGAAATCAAATGCAAACGCAAGAATGATAGAATGATAGAATGTATTCTCTCAATCGTGATGCAAACGCATGCAAGTCAATTTCGGGTGACGCAAAAAAACAAATTCGACGGCATGCGTACGCAAGCCGCGAATATTAGGTTAGCCTGTAACATAGTGAAATTTACTTTTAAATGGAGCTGTAGTTTTTTTATAAAATATGGACACAATTTGCGTTTGTAATATGTATGTATGTATCATGAATCATGTGTATGTATGTATATGAAACATTTCACACTGCTTATACTTATACTCCTTTGTTCAAAAAACCGAACTTTCTAGTCTAGACAATTGCGCTCAGGTACTACCACCGCCATTGCAATTTGACAAAGTAGCTGCCCCTATTTTGAGTAAATTTTTCATGTTTCAGTTGTAATTTGCTATAATTTTTACGCCATTTCACTTGAATTATACTTAATTTTCAATACTTTGTCACGAGTGGTGCAATTTCTATAGATTTCTAACCTTTTGCTGCCTGAATATTTGATAGACGCACATCGGCCGGCTTCGATTTATCTTTGAAGGCTTGGCCTTTTGGTTTAACTGGAACGAAGTTTGCTTTCGGAGCCATTGTTCTTCAAGCTTTAAGATTTAATTCACTTTTTAATTGATTAGAGAAAATTCTTGACGATTTTTGTGGATTAAAAACACAATCGAACACCGACGAAAAATCAAATGCAAAAGACAGGCAAAAATACTTTTTTGTTTCTCTTTACGGTTTTTTCTCAAAATTGACAGCAAAAATATGAACAAAGGAGGACTGACAACAAGTATTGCCAGAGTTATTAGAACGCGTGTACTTAGTAATCGGTTCAGTATACCGAATTATGTGGTATTCACACAACAGCGCCTCTAAACATTTTAAAATCGAAAATAAAAAGATGAAGTTGTTCACAATTGTTATTGTTTGATGCTGAAAATGAGAATGTGTGTGTGAAATTGAGTTTTGAATTCTTAAATTATATTACTGGCAAAAGTCACACTGCCTCTCAATGGCTTTACCTTGTTATGTTTTTATCAAGATCGGAACGGTGTAGAACTTCAAAAAACTGGCCAAAGACTGTCACTACAGCAGCATACACCAAAAAAAAATTAATATAAGGCGTGTTTTTTTTACACGCATATACATGCACGCTTAACGTGTAAAAAAACAAGCATCGACAATTTCCATATAAAAATAAATAACCTTGACTTTATCGACAACAATTCATTAGTACACATAAAGTTTATCGTTTACAGCTCAATGCAAATTTTAAGCACAGATACGTATGCGTCTATTACAACAACAATAATCTTTGCATTTGCATGCAATAACTTTGGAGGATCTATTTATGTATATTTTGGCGGTGGTTTATTTCAGTGATTTTCAATAAATTTTTTCAAATCAAAAATTTTTGTAAACCAGCCAATATGTATACCAAGCTGTTGTTTTACCGTTCACACGATCGAACATCGATAGCTATCTCACCATGTTGTCACACATGTATGGGTACAGACGCATGTGTACTCGTCCCTTTTCTTCTCACCCCCTCTCTTCCACATGCGAGCAGAATTGAATTCAATACTTGAACTGTGTAAAAGCAGTCTCAGAGTTTTCGCTTTTTCGCGAGAAAAACAAATTAGGGGTATTCTCTGAGTCTTGCAAAGCCCTCGCACGGTGACGGATTGCACGGTTTGCAAAGCTGTCCCATACGAAAACCGGTTTTCACCGTGCAATCCGTGCAATCTGTGCACCATGCAAGGGCTTTGCATGACTCAGAGAATACCCCTATTAATTCTTGTATAAAATTCTCATTGAAAGCTTCAAATTAAGCACTTGAACAAAAGTATTTAACTTCTGTGGTGCATCCAGACCAAAATTAGTAACGTTTCAAACAATTTGTGGCGGAATTATTGAGTAATACACCGCAGGTAAATATGTAGACACATATATACATACATATAGGCGCGATCGTGCATTTTTTCCGCCCGTGCACATGCTCTATCGCGTTATTGCAAATAAAATATAAAAAATCGATTAGCATCTTTTGTTTTATGACTCTGGGCGCAACGCCGAAAGAAAAAAATTAACATTGGCATGATTGCTGTTTTCTTATCTACATGCCGCACTGATGTAACGCAAGGGTGCGAACTTGCCAAATGTGTTGCTGGCTATCTATCGCCAATGACTTCAGTGTGATAATAAAAACTTTTTTTTTCCTTTTTTCAGAAATTTGGTCATTAGCATAATATTGCGTATATTGTTATAGGCACACTATTATGGCATATCGTTTCGGTTCCGTTAGTATAACAAGATGTCAATTGGCGCTGTTGATTGGTACACCTGTCGCTATTGGTTTGGGTGTCTACATTTACAATAAATCAATTGATGAAAAAAAGCCTATTAGCGATAATGATGCTTCAGAAAATGCAGCTTTACGCAAAAAGGGACTTCCGGCCAAGGATAAGAACCAAACACTTTCCATCGATGGCACCGGAGAAGACAAGGAGCTAGCGTAAGAAAAAAAATGCTGAACTGGGAAGCGAAAAGTTGTCCCCACTAAAAGAAGCCACTATGTACAAGAATGATGGCAATGTTTACTACCGTAATGGCAAATATGACGAAGCCATTTCCTTTTATGATAAAGCTATTGACAAATGCCCAGCCGAAAACCGCACCGACCTCGCAATTTTCTATCAAAATCGTGCCGCCTCATATGAAATGCTGAAGAAATGGAATCGCGTCAAGGAGGATTGCTCGCGTTCGCTTGAATATAATCCACGCTATGCGAAAGCATATTTTAGGCGTGCTAAGGCGCACGAAGCTACGAATGATATGCTAGAATGCTTGGATGATGTCACTGCAACTTGCATACTAGAAATGTTCCAAAATAATAGCACAATAATGTATGCGGACCGCATTCTAAAGCAGACCGGTCGTGACGACACCGAACGTGGGTTGAAGGAGCATAAACCAATTTTGCCATCGAAGAATTTCATAAATACTTATCTGCGGTCATTTATTGCTGATCCAATAGAGGGCATTACTTTGCCTATGGCAGAGGACGGAGCAAGTTTGAAAGGTTTTGCGCGGGCGAAGAAAGCATTGGAAGTAGAGCAGTATGAGGAAGTTATACCAGAGTGTACGGAAGAGATTGAGACTTCCGAATCGGAATCGCAATACAAATCAGAAGCTTTGTTGTTGCGCGGCACTTTTCATATGCTCTCGGGTAATTTCGCTGCAGCGAAACAAGATTTGGATGCTGTGATCAATAACGGTATGTGAAAGGATTTAAGTTTTTTATGAATATTTAATTAATAATAGTGCAACTATTTAAAATTGTTTAATATTAGCTGATGCCGATGTGTCGCTACGTGCTGCTGCCTTTATTAAGCGTGCCTCCTTGCATATACAGCTAGAGGAGAAAGACTTGGGGCTGTCAGATTTTGATGCTGCGTCGAAATTGCAACCAGAAAATCCAGATGTTCATCATCAGCGTGCACAAATCTACATTTTGATTGATCAGCTGCCTGAAGCGCTCAATGAATTTGAAAAGGTCTTAAAAATGGCACCAAATATTGCAATGGCTTACATACAGAAATGTTACGCCGAATATCGTATGGCATTGATGTCCCAAGATCAGATAAGACTAATGATAGTCATGACCGAATTCAAGAATGCCATTGAGAAATTCCCCGACTGTGTTGAATGTTACAGTCTGATGGCACAAGTTTTGGGCGACCAGCAGCAATTCCAACAAGCAGATCAATTCTATGAGAAAGCTCTTAAGCTAGCGCCAGAAAATGCTTCATTATATGTATATCGTGGCATAATGCTACTACAGTGGAAGGGTGATATTGATAAAACCATCGAACTCATGAATCGAGCAGTAGAAGTGGACAAGAAATGTTTACTAGCATATGAGACACTCGGCACAATTGAAGTGCAACGGGCAAATCTAAATCGTGCTGTCGAACTTTTTGAAAAAGCAATAAAACTGGCAAAGAGTAGATCAGAAATGGGTCATCTATATGCTTTGCGAAATGCCGCAGTTGCTCAAGTGAATGTTACGCGTAGATTGGGTATTGATATGTCGACAGTATCTGCGCTGGCGCAATCGGGTACAATACCGGTGTCGTTATAAAGTGTAAGCGTGTGAGAAGAGGAACTTTAAAAGTACTTTGAAGTAGTATCAAGTTTAAGTAATTTCGCTGCAAAATAACCATTAATATAAAAAATTCCAATAAGCTAAAGAAGAAGGAACTTGCAGTTAATAAGCGTGAATATAGCATACAAGCATTTCACCTCCTTTGGCCCATCCTTACCGAGCAAAGTCTAATCAGTGCAGTATAAGAGGTGGAAATACTCATATAATAAATTCATGCAACTAAATGAAAGAAGAGGTGCTCCTAAGTTTTTTTTTATTAAACTCTGACGACACTCCCATAAGTTTGTATTATTGTTCTAATTAAATGTTTTCTGGGGGGTTAATGCCTAATCGAAACTAGAACACAAGTTTCCCATTTTGTGTGTTTATGGAGCGGAAGCGGGTTTGGCGCTTTTTATTTGGTCACTCATAGCTAGCTCGCTATTGCCGTAATTCACAGTGTAAAATAAAATTCACAGCCAAAGTTATGTCTACCGAATTGCGAGCATGGTGGGTTCTAACACATTTATATGTAGGTAGTACCCAGTGGGAATTAGGAGCACGTAATAATACCTTATTAGCAACTTACTCTTCACCTGGCAGTCATTACCATTTCCCTGCCGAACGTCCCTTACTTTTACAAAGGCATGGCCGCCTTATGTAAGTAGGAATTTAGAATGTACATTTGGTATCAGACATACTTCTGAGCCGCTTTACAAAGTAAGTTACTAGTAATGCAGAGCAGTCGCTCGGAGTAGTTCGGTGCTTGGAAATAACTTCGGCTGCACGTTATTTTGCAACTGACAACGTAATGTGTCTTTGGAGGTGTTCATTTTGCCCTTTACTAGTAGATGACATTGGCCATGATGACAATTTTGGTACTAAAAACTGAAAGAAAACATGGCTTACCTCGCAAGGTGCTTACCTATTTTCCCAGTGGGTACATATGGTTTCATACACACTATTCAAATTTAGATATTGCGCCACATAAATGGAGCACAGAAGCTTGCAAATTAAACCTGAGTATGTCTTGTTTAAAAAAAGTGTATTATGCGAATAATCACAAACATATTATATTATTTATAAATAAAATTTTAGTTATGTAATTATCGCCTTGTTGATCCAAAGTCATTACATAGTTTAATTTCTGTTGATTGAAATTTATTGTACCCTGGCCATTTTCTATACACAATATTAAATTAGATCATAACTATTTACGCTTACCTTATTGTTACTAATAAAAACGAAAACGTTTAGAGCTATAATATCAGCACTTAAAGCAGTCATTGTTTTTATAACCAACGGATGTTGGAAGAACTCCCACTAAAGCTTTTTTTTATCCTTAAACAATTCTCGCTTTTGAGTTATCTTGCTAAGGGTAAGTACTTTGACCGGAAATGTATTATAGTTGTCCGGAGAAACATTTGTTCCATTTCCTTGTATTTTCAAGCACTAAAAGTATACGCCTTCGATTCGCCACGTCTCTGCTCGCTTGACGAAAAATTGCTACGTGAAATCAACAACAAAGTTAGCAAGCAAATGTTGTAGCAGCAGTGCTCAACCCCCCAGTTTCTGTCATGAATCATCTTCATCCTTCGCCTCTGCAAGCATGTGAAGAGGTGCTGGGCACAGCAAGCAGGAATGAACGTTGGCAAGTTTCGTTGTACCTCATTGTTGTTGTTGTTGTTGTTGTTGTTGTTGTTGTTGTAGCGGCACTACTAAGCCCCGCCTGTTACGGGTCAACTTTTAATCATTATCGTCAAGCTCAACTAACGGTAGGCCCAGGAAACGAGCTGTTTCGATGGGGTTGGAACAAGGGAGAGGGGTGTTAGTTGAGTCGGATTGAGCTGGCATGTGAAGAGGTGGTTGGTGTCGTGGGGGAAGTCTCCACAAGCCGGGCACTCATTTGGGATGTTTGGGTCGAGTCTGGACAGGTAGCTGTTTAGGCGGCTACAATATCCAGACCGTAACTGAGCCAGAGTAACGCGGGAATCTCTAGGTAATTGAAGCTCCGTCTCTTCCACAGGTGGTGATTGGGCTCCGATAACGATATTCTTAGGCCTGGAGTCGAGGTAGGTGGAGACTGGCTCCTTATGAATGTCGTTAATCGCTTGTCTGTACGTCATTGGGTCCAGTGGTTGGTCTGTGTGGGTCTGGACTGCGTCCTTGTACACGAATAGGTGCCCCCTGACGTGCCTGGGCGGAGGCTCCTCCTCCAGCAGTTGTCTGTTGGGGTGTTCGCTTCTGTGACACCCCACCAGAAACTGCTTACAGAGCATTTTGTTGTGTTCCCGTACGGGGAGCACTTGGGCCTCGCTGTGTAGGTGGTGCTCAGGCGTCATCAGAAGGCACCCAGTCGCTGTCCGGAGTGCGGCGTTCTGACAAGTCTGTAGCTTCGTCCACTGCGTCCAACTAGTCCCCGGTGACCAAACAGGCGCTGCATAATTTAGAACCGGCCGGCCAATTGCCTTGTATGTTACCAGCAACGTTTCTTTGTCTTTGCCCCAAGTGCTGCCGGCGAGCGACTTGAGGACCTTGTTGCGGCTCTGTACTTTGTTGACAACTGCGGTTGTGTGCGCGGAGAAGGAGAGCAGGCTATCAAAGGTAACCCCTAAAATTTTTGGGTTGTTCACCGTCGGTATAGGTGTGCCGTCGACGTGAATGCCTAATTCTAGCCTGACCTCCTTCGTCCAGGTGGTGAAGAGGGTCGCCGTTGATTTCGTTGGGGAGAGGGTTAGGCTCCTTGCAGTGAAGAAGCGAGAAAGGCTGGAGAGATAGCCGTTTACTTTTGAGCAGAGGTCATCAATTCCATTCCCAGACGCCAAAATCGAACAATCATCAGCGTACGAGATCAGGGAAACTCCTTCAGGAGGCTGGGAGAGTTTCGAGATGTAGAAGTTAAAAAGTAAGGGGGAGAGAACACCACCTTGTGGAACCCCTTGTTTTATTCTTCTTGGTTTCGAGGTTTGATCTCTGAAGATTACTGATGATTGTCGACCACTCATATAATTCGCCGACCATCCCTGTGGAGAGAGGAGGCCTAAACGTCTTCTAGCAGCGTGGAATGGCAGACGGTGTCAAACGCCTTTGACAAGTCCAACGCTACTAGGACAGTTCTCTCACAGGGGCGGTTACATTTAGGCCACGAGTTATCTGGGTGTTTATGGCGTTAAGTGCTGTTGTTGTGCTGTGCACTTTACGGAAGCCATGCTGATGTTTCGCTGGGGTTAGGTGCCAGCTGAAGTATGGGAGCAGCAGGGCCTCAAGTGTCTTCGCGACCGGGGAAAGGAGCGTTATCGGGCGATAAGAGTCTCCTCTGTTGGCGGGCTTCCCCGGTTTCAGCAGTGGGACCACTCTCCCTGATTTCCACACATCAGGAATGATGAGAGTGGTCATAGACAAATTGAGGACCTCCGTGAGGTATGCTACTCCCATAGGCCCCAAATGTTTCAACATCAGCATACAGATTCCGTCGGGTCCAATGGCTTTGGAGGCTTTCGCCTTCCCGATGGCCCCCTTCACTTCACCGCTGGTGAAAACAAGTGGTGCACTGTTTTTGGGCAGTTTGTGCAGCCTCCTGGTCACTCGACGTTTGGCCTTGTCTACCGAAGGATGCAGTGTGAATTGCCGACTAAAATAGTTCGCGCATTTCTTCGGGTCCGATGAAGCGTGACCTTCGAATGAGAGTTCCACTTTGTCATCGCGCTTCGTCGGGTTGGACAAGGACCTCACGGTTGACCAGAGCTTACTCACACCAGAGGTGAAGTTACAGGCCTTCAAGTGCTCTTCCCACTTTTTCCGCTTATGTTGATTTACCA